TGTAGCCGTAGGGGCAGTGGCAGGTGTAGAAGGTGACGTGATCGTGGCAGGTGGCGCCATTACTACATGGGGAGCTATCGCACATGTTGATGCGGAACTGGCAGTTCGATCCCGTATACCTAACAAACGATATACCATTATTAATAAGCTATTTAAATTTTAATAACTAAATGTGTTAATGTTGTGTAACGGACCCCGGTGGGCAGGAGCAGTTGTAGGAGTTGATGCCGTCGAGGCAGGTGCCGCCGTTCATGCAGCTGGAGTCGGTGCAGTCCTCGTCGTTGGTCTGGCAGTCGGTGCCGGAGAAGCCCAGCGGACACGTGCACGTGTACGACGCCACGTACTGTAACAAATGTACAAATTAAAATACCTATCAAGACTACTTAATAATATTTACAATCTATTAAGGCTTTTATACAAGATAACTGTTGTACGTGACTTCGTCCACGTGGAATTAAAAATTGTATAAAGCCTATGTTCCTCCCTGATAATGTAGCATTTTAATGGTGAGATTTAAAATTCGTCCCAAAGTTTTTGAGTTATCCCGATACATACAAAAATAAAAAAATACGAGACTTATCTTTATAATATTAGTATAGATATAGACATATAACTATACCTGATTGCAAGTAGCTCCGTTCATACAAGGGCGAGACTGGCACTCGTCGATGTCGACCTCGCAGTGCTTGCCGGCGAACCCGCTGGCGCACACGCAGTTGTAGTCCCCGATACTGTCCAGACACGTCGCGCCGTTCTGACACGGGACTGTCGAAAAAACACGATATCAAGTACATGAAATACAAAATTCTAAGTAAAATTATATATATTTTCCTCGACGACTATTCACAACATATAAATTAGTGTTTTTACTACAACATGTTATTAAAAACAAATAATCTTAGCATAATAGCATTTTCTACAAGCATTAGTCAAAAGATATTCGATCTGGAACTACCATATAACTTAAAACTTTCGTAATTTTTATACAATGTTCGTAAGGATTATTACCAACCGTCACTCCGCGCTGTCACCACGTGGGGACAGGTAAGAAAAAAAAGTTTCATCCGTCCCATCGTTTGGGACGAGGAGACGGTTTAAACTTATTTTATTTTTAACGTATCCATCCGTCCCCTTATTGGTAATAGGGGGACGGTTCGAACTTTTTATTTATTGTTTGTCCTTATGAAATTTAATGTTTAAAAATAATGATCATACCAATATTACTCGTTTAAATGCAAAAGCTTAGATGGATGGATGGATGTTTGTTAGAGCTTGTAGCCTAAACGGCTGAACGGATTTCGATGAAATTTGGCATACATGTAGAGGATACTCCGGAAGAATACATAGGCTACTTTTGAGTTTTTTAATTCCCGCTGACGGAGTCGCGGGCGAAAGTTAGTACAAATATAAATAGCAATAGTAAAAGACTAGCAGTTTTTTTTCTCATTTGAAGCTGAAAGTCAATCGTTAGAACCCCTTTATTTTGCGAACATTTATTTATTTATTTAATACTTACAAGAAGCGCAATCATCAGTATTTATAGCGCAGTCCCGGCCTTCATACCCTCGTGCGCAGAGACATGCGTACGCGCCGGCTGTATTAACGCAAGTCGCGGCATTGTGACAGGGCGCGGAGGCCGCGCACTCGTCTACGTCGCGTTCGCACAGCGCGCCCGCCCAGCCCGCGCCGCACGCGCACGTGAACTCCGCGTACGATGCTTCCGCCACACAACGACCACCGTGACGACATCTGTACACACAAGTATTAATAAAACACAACGATCTACTAAACATACTAAACTTAGGGCTGGTAAGGCTGTCTTCTGTCCCTCTGGACGAAGAGCAGACCTATATAACTTCAAACTGTCGTGGTTTTTAATATAATTCTCGTAAGAAAATCGTACGGGTATCTTACCACGATTGGATTGTTTTAGCTCAGACAGCCCGTGAACATGGCGCATGCAATAGTGCCGAAATATAGCTAAAACAACCCAATCGTGATAACCTGAATCTTTCGAACGATATAGAAGAGCAGACCTTTTTATTGCAATTAAATTTGAACTCTATGCGATTGGTATAAGGAATAATTTATTTTTTCATAAGAAGAAAGTGAGTTGTGAGAACCAACGATGCCCTTAGACATGAAAATTAAAATTAAATTTAGTTTGATTTGTATAAATCTCAATTTAATTTGTGATAAGCTATGTTCACGTTCCGGGTCTGTCTGAACAGATTTAAAGGGAATGTTGCTACTTCGAGAGGATACCTTTTATTTTTAAGGTTGGTATTATAAATACAATGTTGTAAAATTACACGTCCAGCTAGTGAAAAAGGAATCTTAATCAGATATAGTATCAAATATTTTTAAATTTGGCTGAATATGGTTTTACCTTTGTCTTTTACAAAAAAAAAGTTAAAAGCACTAACTGGTTTGGCAGACAGGGGTCGAGCGTGTTCTCGCAGTTGCGGCCGGAGTGCGGCGGCGCGCACACGCACCGGTAGCCGTTCACCAGGTCGATGCAGGAGCCGCCGTGCAGGCATGGGTTGCCCGCACAATCGTCGATGTTCGTCTCGCAGTTCACACCTAATAATAAAAATAGTCGTAACAACAGACAAAATAACTACATCCTATGTGTGTAAATCAACAAATTATAATCATTTATGTGCAATTTCTGTTTTTAATGACTTTCTATAGTAGTCTATAGTCAATAAATTAGTTAATACGTATTATAAATGTAAAAATTTAGATGGATGTGTGTGTCTACGTGTCCCCAGAACGGCTCATCAGTTATCTGAAATGTGGCATTGATGATAACATAGGCTCCTGAGTTTTTTTGTTTTATTCCGCGAGGAGTCGTGGGCGACAGCTAGTTATACGATATAGTAGTTGTTATTTTGTTTACTAACCAGTAAATCCAAGTACGCAATCACATTTGTACGCATTTAGTCGATCGTGGCAAGTACCGCCGTGTTGACAAGGATTCGAACTGCACTCGTCTATGTCGCGTTCACAACGTTGACCTAAACACAAATGAACATTTATTCCATATTGTTAAGAAATCGATATCGTGCGATATCGATATAGCACAACACTAAATCATTGACATACACGTCCCATCCCTATGACAGCTGTCAATGTCATTCTGATGGAAGTTGGTAGACTGAGTATCGAAGTAATACCTTGTTACCTATTATATTATTGTTTAAAAATGCAATTAAAACAATCAATTTAAAGTAAACATTTACCTCCATATCCTGGTAAACAGTGGCAGATGAACTGGTTGACGCCATCTTCGCAAGTCCCGCCATTGATGCAAGGGTTAGAGGCACATTCGTTGACGTCGGACAAACATCTGTGAAGCAAAAGTTTGAGTTTAAACTTACGTAATAAATACGTCAGTTTGAATGGATTTGTCTACATATCTTTAGAACGGTTAAACGAATCTTGCAGAACGACATAGATGTAGAAGATAGTCTGGAAGAACATATGCTTTTAATTAAGATATTTTTAAAATCCACGAGAACGGTCGCGTCAATTACTACGAGTTATGGATGACAATTTCTCTCGGAAATATAAGAAGTACTAACTAATATGCTTTTTAATAAAGAGTTAGTTACTAAAGAAAGCCTAGTTTTTGAATATTTGTTTAGATAAATATGTCACCTAGCATCGTAGTATCCTCGTGGGCACTCGCAGCGGAATCCGTTGATGCGGTCAATACATTTGCCGCCGTTGGCACATGGGTTGGACAAACATTCGTTGATGTTGGTCTCGCAGTGTTGGCCCGTGAAGCCGGGGATGCACTCGCACGTGTATCTGCAAGACAACGTGCTTTAGTGACTTACAGTGGCTTACTAAATGTGCCTTAATGGCTTATAGTAGGTTACTTAATGAAAGTTGCACTTTTATATCTTGTAGCTTAAGAACGATGTGTGATGTGGCTTACATGAATATTGTACATTAGTGCTTTAATGACTTATAAGACTTTTGTAATTTTATAGTTTGAAATCAGATTGTGCTTTATTGGCTTATAACGGGTTACTTAGTAAATATGGTTTGCTGTGGACCAGATTGTAAGGTATTACCTGTTGATGCCATCAATACAAGTGGCGCCATTCCTGCAAGGGTTGGAATAACACTCGTTAACGTTGATTTCGCAGTTGCGACCCGACGTACCCGGCTTGCAACGGCACTGATACCCGTCTATCAAGTCCTCGCAGTGACCTGGCGGCACAAAACATTCATGTTTTTGATTAATAAATTAACAAGACGCCAAGACATTAAAGTCTTTGCAAATCACACATAATACGGTTCGATGTCTTAAGAAACAGTTAACTTCTGAAAATTTATGTTTTTGGTCCTTCAAGTCGGATGTACATTACAATTATGGGATAAAAAATAGTAACTGACCTCCAAATTGGCATGGGTTCGACTCGCACTCGTTGATCTGCGTTTGACACACCCTGCCGGTGTATCCAGGGTGGCAGTTGCAGGTGAAGCTGTTATCACCGTCGATGCACTCGCCGCGGTGGCATGGCGCGGATAGGCAGTCGTTGATGTTGGTCTCGCATGACATACCTGCGGGGACACCGGCTTTAGCGACCGGTCGTACAGACCAGCTTTTCGTGTTACGGTAAATGTGAGGAATCCGACAAATTAATAAGAGATTAATTAGATATGAATTAACCTCTGATAAGATCTAGAAATAAGTCAGTTTTGTGACATTCTTGTTTAAATTAACCGTTTTATTTATCTTAGATTAATCACATATACCGTAACAATTCAATTTTTTATAATCAATCAACAATAATGTAGTATAGCCAAAATTCCTTCACATTTAAGGATATTTCAGTTGCAAAATTTACTGTTAATCATTCTAAAAAGTGTTATGACACTTTTAACATACTATGTGCCTGTATATATGTACAGACCAGTATATCCCGGTGGACACTCGCAAGTATAGCCGGCGATAGAGTCGTGGCAGGTCCCACCGTTGCGGCACGGGCTGGATGCACAATCGTCAATGTTCACCTGACAACGGGCACCCGTAAACCTGCAATTAAATACATTTTAGTAACTCTGAGTATAGATAAATAATGTATAATTAGAGACTGCTTAAATAATGGTAAAGTTGGCACTTACCCTATGACGCAAGTGCAGCGGAACGCATTGATCATGTCGTGACATACGCCGCCGTTGAGACAAGGATTGTTTGCGCATTCGTCGATCTCCACTTCGCATTGCGTACCAGTAAAACCTTCGAATAAAAAAAAGATTTTACGACAAAGATTAAAAAACGTAGAGGTACATGTTAGGTACCAAAATACATGTAAATACGAAATCTTTTCTTGCTCATGTCTGTCTTACCCACACTATTAAGTTTTATGAGATGATGGTCCACGATTAGAATACCAGTTACTTCAGAATAGTTCTGGGAAACAATTTCCAAATTACTACTTCCTTATTGAATAACAAAGCAGTACTCAATTTGCAATACAAGAGCATTGGATGTTCGTACATCTGTCAGTCAGTCAGTAACAGTTTGTGGTGAAATTATACGTTGGTTCTTGACTGACTTCTTGACAGTAACATAGATGGATAGTCTTTATCTGATTTAGTTTAAAGAACAACCGACTTAAATAATTGACAAACGAATTAGCTAAGCTCAGATTATCTAGAGATATTTTCTATTACTCGTAGAGAAGGTTTGCCGATGGCTTTATGACGTCACGGGTAGAAACGGTAATGAGAGTGATCGGCAAACCTTTTGCAATCATGTAATTTTTAGAATTGAATACATTAAGAATTCTGGAATGTTCGACTTCATAACTGCGGATATTTGTTATGTTTTATTTTTTTAAGATATTTATTTTAACTCAACTTTCCTTTACGCTTATATAACGTCAGTACGATTCTAATACCATACAAAGTTTTTATTACGATATAGCCACTAGGAAATACAGTAGAAAATAATTCACAACATCTCAACAAACCATATTCGGGCAAAGGAATCCTGTGCAATGAAACAACAAACGTATGTGCAACAATTTAGAATATAAAATTGAATGATCGACGTCTGTCTATGTCGGGATAATCTAGCTCAGACCATAGACGTATACATGTCTAACTTTCAAATTTGATCTTTATTACAAGTCAATAAAGTGCAAATATCATTGAGAGAAACAATTATAAAAAGTCTTTAATAATTCCAACAGAAATCGCTATCCCGCCAAAAAGGGAATGCGGTCCCGGACTTTCGTTTATGTAATCGTCAATTAACATTTCTCCGCTCCCAGACGGCTTTATTACTATTAACATAAAGTTTATTTTGCAATATTGCAGTTTTAATGTCGATCGTCTCAGACGGAGTTGGAATTTAAGGGCTTTTCAAACAATACTTGTGATATCTCAAATGCTTTTACCTTAAGTGGGATAGCCATATTACATTGGCTTTTGTCTTAGTCATTGTTAAAATTGTAAGAAAATTTTAACGAGCTAGTGTTAGCATGTTAATAAAATTTGCGAATGGCTACAGAAGGTAAAACTTTTGTTTATTCATGAGTAGCTTTTTCTTTCGACATCGTTCTCTTACTAAGAAGCCTTCCAGACTGTTCTATATCTAAAAAAAATAATCGCGATCCGTTAAGCTGTTTTAGAGTTACGTATCTAAACTTTCGCATTTCTTTTAATAGTATAACTATCTCTGAAACACAATAATTATATAGTAAAATTGCCAGCAATAAAACGTTTAGAAATACATTTTTTTAAACATAAATCATTTTATCACCAACCAACATTTTAAACCATAAGATATGTTTCATTTTTTATTTCAATTATTCAATTGTGGTCTATAATTATTAAGCAAAATTGATACTGGCATAAAATAATTACATACAATAGAACAATATTTCAAATAAATCTATTTTGTGGGTTAATAAATAGTTTACGCGGGTTTGTATAACGTCATGGGCCATTGGTATTGCCGTTTATTGGTGGGGGATACCACACCCAATGTTTGAGTGTTAATCGTATGGTGCAAGTTAGAAAATGTTGACTACTATTCAAGACTAAGACCTGCATATTACAGACTTTTTGGTACGATAGTTTACTCGGACGATAATCAGTATGAACGTATATGATCGCCTTTACACCAATTTTCTTTGATATGATTTTCTCTTAACAGTAATTAGACTTTCTTATTAGACTTTCTGCTGATAAAAAGTCTGAATCCTTCGGAATTTTAGAACAGCAAGTCAATGTCAAGTAGAGAATATCAATTCAAAACACTTAGGCTTCTAATAATCCAAGAATAAAAGACCAAAACAATCTATAGTCAATTATTTCGGTAATGCATTTTAGTAATTCAAAGACTCGAAACAATTCCCAACATAACCTCAAAATCTTTTAATCGCGTTTTTTTTTATTCACAAGGACTCATAAGTACAAATTCCATTATTAACTTTATATGTTTTTATTCCGCTCACTCTTATAACTTGTTCCGTAGTCCGAACTGTCACGATTTGGGATCAGAAGGCACAATAGAAATGACCAGCGCATGCTAATGTTGCCTTTATGCGCATATCTGAATGTTTAGTGCCAGTTTTAGTTATACACGTGACTAGACGGGATTGGCTGAAATACGAAATAAAAATAGGCCTAAGGACGTGCGCATACTTGAAACTAAAGTATTGCAGAAATGTCCGATTGTCAATTGTTTCGCAGCCAATTCAACTGTTTAGTTGCACAACTAAAAATCGAGTGGCGCACCTCCATGTCTCATAGGAATCAAAGCGCGCACAGTTTTGCGATAATTTAGTTTCAGATGTCTGAACGCTGTAAAGGTTTAGGAGAGACGTAAGACAGGGTATTAAAACGTTTCAAGGAAGGCTGCATTGGTGTTATTACCACTGATTGTCAACAGAAAGTCTTCTATGTATTTATATACACTAGATAGCAATGAATAAGGGTAATAAAACTTCTTGTAGGTTTCTTTAGGTGACCAACATTCTTTGCTCTCGAGTGTTAAACATAGTTTTTCGAATCAGAAATAAAACTATGTCGACAAACATTGGCGCAAAATAGATTAATAGATAGTTCCCTAGTTATAAAACCCGTTGCATAGATTTGCAGCAAAAAGCTCGTATTCTAAACCGCTCGAGGCGTCCCACGTCTCATTTTATGGGAATGTAGCGATACCTGACTTTGAGGAAAAAAATGTTGCTCAGTAATCAAGGCAGATTTATGGCGCTGCTACAGCCAATCCAAATATAGTGGCGAAGTGACTCCTTAGCACTTTGCGGTAACACGTAATTTTGTATTTATTTTGAACAAAACTACCGAGAAATTATTAAATTAATAACGTGGCATCAATTTTAATGACAACGAAAACAAAATTTCGGACTTTCGTTTACAATTTAATCACCACAAGGTGAAATTATGCAAATTCGGGCACCCAATGCATGTCGCCATAAAAATTACAAGATGCTTCCGTTGCAGCAGCTGTAACTTAAATTGGCGATATTAAGTTACGACCGTTGCCATCGGGGCTGTAGCAAAAACCGGGTGCAAAGTACTAGTCGACATATTTTATTGTTGTAAAAAAAGTATCGTCATCGCGTTTGCCCTTATTAGTCCACCGGCAGGACGGGTTCGCGCGCACTCGTGCATGATACGAGTGATATACGAGCGAATCAAAACGTCGCATTTTATAACGAAACACGTCTCGAGAGAGGGCTGTTTAATTTAACCGGGTTGTAGTTGCGCCTAGTATGATCCTACTAAATTGAAGTGTTATAGATTCTTAAGGCATTCAATAAGGAAAGCGTCTTTATAATTCGTTCGGATAGTAATGTGGGAGAGGGGTAAGGCCGGTTGTTCCGATGAGTGGTCTCGACCAGCGTTCGCTGACATCTTTTGTACACATGACAATGTGATGGGGTTATTCATAACGTATGAACCTTTGAAGGGACTAAATATCACTTGTCCGAGAGGGCATTGAATTATGCATGCTCATATTTCAATACCGCGAAGCTTTGGTAATAAGAACATAGAACCTTTCGCCTTTTAACTCAATCTTAGCTGCAATTATTTTAGATGGATGGATATTTGTTAGAGGGTATCTCCTGAACGGCTTTACAGATCTTAGTGAAATAATGGTGTAGATGTAGAACAGTCTAGAAGAACATATAGGCTATGATCCCGAAAATATGTAGTCCCCGTAGGATACGTTTTATTCTCATATCTACTTGATATCCCTTTTAAGGACACAGATATAAAACACAGTTTAGAATAACCTCACCTTTCATTTTTGCGTTCGCAGACAAAAGCTAAATAATAGTAAATATATCAACTTGCTTTTTAAATAGCCCTAGGTCTAAACAAGTATATGCAGTTTAGGCCAAGTGGTTTAGAAGGAAAACCTAGAGTAGGCGGTACATAAGTTTTGGCGTGGGAAGTAACATTACGAATCTTGGTGTTAGCGTAAAAGTAATTTGAATTACAAATTACGAGCAAATTATTTCGATTGAAAAGATAACAGATAAGATGCAAAAGGCAATATTGAATCTAGACTCTTATTTAAAGAATGATAAGATTCAAATTGCTGATTTTCTACTTTCAGATGTTTCGCAGTGGCGAAAAGATCTAGACATGCAAATAGATCATTATCCAATCAGCAAATTCGCACAATTTATAATGAGGGAAAAGTGACTTTAACTTGATAGAATTAAAGATGTATTTGCATTGTATTTGTTAACGGTAACGTTTCCTCGTCAACACAATGCGCGGCCTCTCTCCGCAGCATGGGAATGCGCTCAGGGTTGAACGTCTCGCCTAAATAAAACATATTACGTAATTGTTTATTATATTTTGATACTGGAGAAGAAAATATTGAGACAACCACTTTATTTAAAACGCCACAATGTTCTGTATATCTATCTCTTTCACGCACAGCCGTCTCACTCCAATGGTAATGACAAATCATTTGTCGGTCATCGCGCTGTCGACTGGAGCAAATTGTCCTAGGTGGGCCCATGTTTACCGTAACACGGAAGTCTTTCAATGATGTTAAGGCTTGAAGATTACACACGCCGCGCCGTGTGCAATCTTTATAACTTTATTTCCGCAATATTTAGGTAAAGAACTGGAATATTGACTAGATGATGCGGTAGTGTGAGTTTGACGTAAAATGCCATGTGCTATAAACTCTCAAGTACCAGGCGCGCAGAAGTATCGAGTAGTTAACCTAAAATAACAGTAGTAAACAGCACGTACCAGGCATGCAGACACAGCGGAAGGTCCCCGGGTCATCAAGGCAGGAGCCATCGTTTCTACAGGGATGGCTTTCACACTCGTTAACATTGGTCTCACACCGAGGTCCCGTGAAACCCACAGAGCAGTTGCACGCGAACGAACCCGGAGTATTGACACACGTGCCATCATGCTCACACGGAGAACCTGTGAAAATAGAAGATAGCTAATTTGATGACGTCATAATAATGGAAACAATGCTCTTCTGTCTATGAGCCTTATAAAAGGATTATGCCCAACCGTCACTCAGCTCTGTCCCCACATGGGAATAGATGAGAATAAAAAGTTTCATCCGCCCCGCCTTTTGCGACGAGGGGACGGTTGGGACTTATTTTATTTCATACCGGTTCCATTTGTCACCTTATTGTTCATAGTGGGACTAATAGGTGGGACGGATGAAACTTTTTATTCTCACGTGTGGACAGAGCGGGGTAACGGTTGGTAATAATCCTTATAAAAAAGGTAATTCATGAACTTGTAGCTTACCTTGTTCACATTCGTTGATGTCTTCAGAGCAATCTAGACCTTTGTAGCCGGATGCACAGGAGCATGTATAGGAACCGTTGATAGGACTTGTGTCGCAGATGGCGTCAGCATGGCAAGGGTTGGATGTGCATGCGTCGTCCAGATGGCAGAGGAGACCTGGTGAAAGATGGTCATAAGATAACACAGATTATAATAGAAAGAGAATTCAAGCTTTAATCACATATTCAACATAAAAGTGTAGAACATAGATTTGTCAACTAGGAAGTGTTTTTCGAAGTGTTCCAACTTACCCGTCTTCCCTGGGGTACATTTGCAGTAAAAAGCACCAACTCTATCAATACAAGTGGCGCCATTGAAGCATGCAGCGCCGGCGCAGTCGTCGATGTTCACAGAGCATTCAGGTCCAGTCCATCCGTTTACACAGATGCAGGAAAATCCGCCCACGGAGTTGGTACAGGTCGCCCCGTTCTGACATACTAAAGGCCTGGAGACAAATTTAAAGTCAGATAAGTTTTAAAATCTTACTAATATTATAGATGCGAAAGTCTAGATGGATGGATGTTTGTTAGAGTTTGTAGCCTAAAGAGCTGAATGGATCTTGATGAAAATTGACATAAACATAGAGTATAGTCTTGAAGAACACATAGGCTTTTGTTTGATTTTTAATTCTACGCGGACGGAGTTGCGAAAGAAAGCTTGTTTAAAAAAAATAGCCGCAATGGCGCTATGCTGTTAAAACAATTTATATAGGGTTTAAAAGTGATGATGGTATTAACAAAAAACTAAGTAATAAAAGGTTTTGAAAGTCCAACGTTGTTGAGTTAAAAAAATCTTTAATTAACAGCGAAGGACTGAAATTACAATGTGACTTGCATTAATCTTGATCTAAATTTAAATTCCTTGCAAAATTTTAAGTTTAAATTCAAGTTGCAGTATTCCTGTGAAATTTGAAGGAGAAATTAACAAAAAAACGTCGGACAGGCTTCTTCAGTGCGTAAGGCGGTTGCTTTCAAGTTTTTAATGTCACTTATTAGCGAGTTAGTGATTTTTTCTCAAAAAATGTTCACCGCTGTACATTATGTGGTTCGAGAATGTTCCGCGCACTGCTTTGTAATCATGAAATGATATTATTTGTTTTTTTTTTTGTAATTCTTACAATTACAAGGCAAGTACAATATTAAACAAGGCTTGCAAGACTCGAAGTTTGTTATTTGTTACGAAACTAGTGTTTTCTTATGCAATCTTTTCTCTCTAGTCTCAAAAAATCTATAAAACTGCCGTTTTAAATTATTGTTAAAAGCTCTACTGCGTCATAGAACAAGTACAGCAAACAGTAAATAAAGCAAATTAAACAAGACAGAACACAATAAGGAAAAAGGTCAATGGCTAAGATAAGATTTCAGTCCTTATTTCGCAATAAGCGGGCGCGGCGCGTGCGCCTGTGCATAGACTATCAGATCCGACACGGACCGATATTACCAAACTGGGCGTGGCAGGCTTATTAATAGTACACACAATTTATTTGAATCTGTCAAGTTATTTAGAAACGTTTAACTTTAAGTTCGTGTCTATTGTATTCAAGTTTATTTGATTATTGGAAATTGATTTGGCTTGGTACTAAATACATTTTTTATTGACGTCCTAAGGCGTTGTAAGTAATAAACTTAGTGGAAATATTACGTAATTAACATCACCCTATATATAGGGTGATGTTAATTACGTAATATTGTTATTGTTATAACAGAACCGGCACTTTCAGTGATTCCCTATTTTTTTTAGTATAGAGGATTTTAAAAAGTTACAATCTGACCTATCCTCATTTACTTGCACACGTGATCACCCACACGGAGTTTGACTACACTATAATAAATATGTAACAACTTCAAAGAAGTTGTAAATCAAATCTCGACTTCAAGAACCAACTTAAGTTGAACGAGTTAACAAGTCATAAGCGTAGAGCGACTCTCTAAGATTTTTTTTATAAAGAAAGTCATTCCTACAAGGGTATACTGTAGCCGAATTATTGGGAATAACCGTGACTTTTATGCAACTTATACACACATTTAAACTGTTATAAATAAGGATTGTGAAACAACTGCCGCACTCAGAGTTATTAATTGGTTACTTAAGAAGTCTCGAAGCATAAGAACACTACGGGACTTTCTAAATGTCCATTAAACATGTAGAGTACGATTATAAGACACTATGGTTTTCATATAACAACATGGCGTAAAATCGCTATCGCTTATAACTTGAATAGTTAAGTCCTGGAACGCAATTTAATATTCGGAATATGCTCTTCGGGCGTAAATCACGATAGAGTACTAATAAATTGTCGACTTTTAGAACCCCATTGACTTGGGCCATGTAAAACCCTCTTAAAAACATCTATATTAGAGAAGCGAGTCTTTTAAAGTCAACAAATAAATCATCAGTCTATATACGAAACTATACAAGTTGTAGTATATTTCTATACTAAAATTTATCGATCAAAGTAATTTAAAGTATAGTAATTACTTAATTATGTATATATGTACTATTTTGTAAATTCAATAACTTGTAACAAACATAATATCGTGATAGATGTAGAAAAAACACATAACTTTAGGACTAATTTGACAATTCTGAGTCTAAAATCTCAATTAAAAACAAACTTTAGCTATCGTTTAAATGGTATGCAATTTAACAGATCATTTGGACGAGATATAAATGAAACAAGAATACGATTTGTTTAATTACAAAACCTCGTTACGTCCGTTAAGTTTTCGCAAGAGTCGCTTATTTTGGTTAGGATAAAGCAAATATTATGAAATCGAGATGCCGCGAATCAAGATGGCGGACCTTAGTTACCGAATCTGGAACGTCGGTGAGTTGCGAACGATTTATTACAGCTTAAGGATATATAAAATATAACTATGCTATATTGTGGAACGGTCCCACGAATTTGTAGTTAGAGTAATAAACGAGATAGTTTTAACAAAAAAATACAGTTAAATAATACAGTAATGTATGAAAAAAACAAGCGTTATTTTACCAATTTTCGGACAATTTTTATAAGAACAGCTTCATTGGTAATTTTTATTCAAAGTATGTTCCGGTGGTTTATTGTTAAATCCAGAGAGCCAATTTTGTGTTGTAAAAATTACGAGAGGTAATTGGACGACAATGTCTCATCGAGCTATGTTTCTTGGAAATTAATTTATCTTGTTACGTCTTTTACTCGTAACTGAGATCGCATTCTGTTAGCTGACTCTCTTGTTTATATGAACAAAGGGTTACAAGTAAGGTTGGAGTTGAAATTCACGTGAATTTAAATAGAACTCGTACTTACAAAGTGATGACACGAGGTTGGTCTTAGTACGAAATTTACATCCAGGATCGAGTCCGATCAATTTGCAACGAGAGAAAGTATTGTTCATTAACAATATAATTGTCTTTATTCAAATCAAGATGGCGGCCTCTTTGTATAATTTGTAACTGACAACACAGTATACGTATATTCAATTTGGCGATTATCGAGTAAGCATTAATCACTCGGCCGGTATCGATGTCGGTAATCGATGTTCTCGTTTCGCGGCCGCTAGTTGTTAGAGGCCAGTATCCGATTGAAGTTTCTTGTCCCTCTCAACTTTCCCGCGTAGCCGAGGGAGCTTGTTTCTGATCTCTAGATTAATGGCGGATTGGTTTACGGTAATTTTATTGATTACATAGAGAAGCTCTTAGACTACTAGTGTACACTAAATTAACTAACATTGTAGTATAGGAGCCGTGGATTTAAATTAATACTGCATTTATTTCAGTTTTTGCTACGTGACTAAATTCGTCATCACTGCAATGGAATGTCGTCGGTAACAATAGTGTGCATGTGTCCTAAGCAGTTAAAAGAACAAAATCATTAAACGACGGCAAGAAAAAGCCCTTAATGCCAACACGTTATAAATCTCACTCGTAATTGGCCCAAATTTTTTCACAATTAGACGCAATTACACACGCGTTCATATCGTCGGAAGGCGAAACATTCAGTGTGCCGTTTTAGGGTTGAGAGAATTTAAAGATTATAAAAAAAAGGCCGAAATATTTTCAAAATGAAATTTTAATTGTATCGAATAATTTAACTAACGCCAGTTTATGTAAACATTTAACAACCCTAAGTAATTAACTTAGTAAGATATAGACTTTATAGTTTTTATATTTACGTCTGCAAACGAGGAAACGGTCACATGAATTCGTCAAATTAGCGAAGTGACTACTGCCCATGATCATAGGCATAAGCAGATACGTTACCTTATAACACAGAAAGTGGATCCCTTGCCTATGGGTTGCCCCTACCCTGCTAAATCCACCTGCCATTCCCAGTTCTTCTAAACCTATCTTAGTATTTATTTAATACTTTTACACAAATAATACTACAGGAAGCTAAAATTAAGTTATTTCTAGATTTGGCGCAAGGGCGGCCTTATCGCTAAGAGCGATCTCTTCCAGGCAGCCCTGTGGGACAGGAGAACACCAACACACATGGGTATTTCATAGATATATAACACAAACATATCTATACTATAATAATAAAGCGTAAACACACACTTCTTTGTTGCCTAAGATGTCAGTAATTACAGTATATTTTTGAATTTTTTTTATTAATAAAAAGCCCTACACTTACATCACGCTTTACGCTATATATTTTCACGCCATTAAACTTAGGTCTAAATATTTTGGATAAAAACCCTAATGTGGGAAAAGGCTTCGGCTGTGTGTTGCTGGCAACATCAAGGAAGCAAGGTTGCCATGGTTTGTTATCGTCATGTCATTTGACATTTGTAATTGATAATTTGACACATGTAAAGAATAAAATAAAATTTTCATTATTCCATGCGAATGAAGTCGCACGGGAACAGCTAGTAATATATATTACATACAATACATAGTATTTGAAATATAACTCGTAAGAAACTTTTGGATGATAATATTTACTTCTAATCAGACGACCTCTTTCTTTAGGCAATAAAATAAAAAATTAACTACACAATTGAGATAATGTCACCACGGGAATTGATATAATATGGAAAACGATGCATTATACATGGGTTCGTTTTCATTAAATCTTTTTAAAATGCAGTGGAAGCCATTCCTATTAATTAGCTATATGGGTTCGTATGTGTAAGGTCGTTATTTAACGAAGTAACTTCGATTTATCTTGAATACCATAGTTAAACGGGAAACTCGGTGGCCTATGAAAGTATAATTTAATGAATAATAAATTCAGTTTACTTGATAAGGCTTCATGGTAGCGGTTAACTTTCACGTCATTTGTAACATTGGGGATGGACAGAATTATTTCAACATTATACTAAAGAAATTGATATCCGATATTGTCTTTGGACAAATCTCAACTGCCTGCATAATAAACTTAATCATGTACTAGTAGTTAAGATGAGGCTAAAAATTGCGGCCTTCAGTAACAAACTGGAGGCCTCATCAGCAAGCCCTCTCTTTTGGCCATAACTTTTTTTTTTATTAACATGGATTGTAAATTTTGTTTTTGTATTTTTTCGGTTAGTAAATAGTGTTTTATTTTATTTTATATATATGCTATCGAAACTAAGGCATGCTCAGTCAATTCTAAATGCAATATGAAAAAGAAATACGTCACATATCGATGTAATTCAACATTGGAGCCCTTTGTCAGGTTTCACTAGATGCGCTACTGCCCATTTACAAAATCATGTCTCATTCTGTTCATATAAAAAACGGCTATGATGTTCTTACCACTTACGACTCAATGGGCACAGGGTAATGCACCAAATAAAAACAGAACGTCTTGAAACGTAACCCGATATCGCGCACGCATTTATCTGTTTCGTTTCACAAGCCAAGCCCGGATTGTATGACGCTATCCCATGATATACAAATGTATTCAAAAAACAACTCTAACCCGTTGGAATAAAGATGAAATTCGATAAAAAATCAATAGAACTTGTAAAATAAGTCGAACCACAGACCGGTAAGCGTGTAGTGTACATGCATTAAATTTGATTGCACATTGAACTTTATCGCTAATAAAATAAATTCCATAATCGTTTATAGATGCGATATTTAGTGATTACGGTGCGTTTTGAAAGCGTCTGCAGCGGTGCCCGCCGAAATATTAATAAGACATAAAAGATCTTGAATAAAAGACAAAAAAGCGAAGCTTTCGGTACTGTCTTGAAAGGCAGGTTTTTTATTTTCTTTTTAAAGAATCCATCAGAGTGGTCAAAGTTCCTTTGCGAAATCTATATACATGCTTACTAAATATTATTATTTAATTATTAATTAAATAGGATATGTAGGTAGATTATAATTTAGCTATGAATTCCAAAATTTAGAAAAAGCTTCAGTTTTCATACAAAAAACATTTTTTACTGAATTATAGGGCTTCCTATCACAACTGTAAAAAAATCTCCGGGAAGTAAGAAACCTTTTTGATTTAGTATTAAAAAGACATTTTCTGACAAAACACGGCTTGCATACTTTCCTTAGGTATTCCGTTTTAATTCTAAATATCATTTTAGTAAGAAGCTAAAATATTTTAAACATTTGATAAAGAATAAGTACCAATAGCCTAATGGTTTGTGGTACTACCAATCTTGCGGTCGAAGGTTCGAATCCCGCCATTCGACTGTCGTGAACCATATCTTAGCACAAGCCTAGAGCTTAGTTGGAATGGTTAAAGGAAACATTAGTAAATTAACAAAAATCTACTAATATTTTATAAAAAAAGAATACATGAGAAATAAAAAAACCGTTAAAGTAAAGGGGTCAACGACATCAACGGATTATTATTTAATTAACACTTAACGACTATGCGTGGACTCCGATCTTTGTTACGAAGATTAACTAAATGCATGGATATCATTACATGATTAATATCTCTTTATGTTGTCAATTTTTTTACATAGCAATATATTGAATAGATTTACAACTTTATCTTAAACGTGTGTGTAATTAAATGCCACGCTAAAACATACTCTATTGCTTTATGATAAGCGTTATAAACAATTACATTGATAGAAAAATGATAAGCAGTTTAATTGGACATGTCGATTGTTTGACAAACGATGATGTACGATTTAGCAAAATAAAACTTTAATCAAATAGTTTAAGGTTTACATTTGTCTAGCAGTTCGGAGTTAGAGTCAATTACGCAGACTTGAAGGATACGTTTTAAATTACAGCATACATGTCTGTTTTAAAACGGTCGGTAGTTTTAGATCGTTATACAGCAGGCAATGGACGTCGAACATTTCAACACATCACAAAGTTTAATGACAAAATTAGCTTACAGCTTTCACTTGCGTCATTCGATTTCCGTTCTCGAGACATCACTTATAAGCGAGTGTGAAAACAAACGAATGTTAACTATTACGTTTACGACTGTCAACTTTATTTTTATTTTTCTAATGACAACATATGGCTATGCTCTAAAGAGGTTTAATATGTAATGTTCTATTATAAATGCTAGCTGTTCCTATGCGACTTCATCCGCATGAAATTATAAAAATTTCATGTTATTGTTCTACTTTGATGTTGACAATAGCTTATGGTCTCTTTCGTACATAAGGGATTTTATCCAAAATACTTACGTAAGTTTAACGGCGTGAAAATGTATAGCCTAAAGCGTAACGCAAGTGTAGGGCTTTTTATTAAAATAAGAATTATTAAAAAATATGCTGTAATTACTGACATCTTAGGCAACAAAGAAGTGTGTGTTCACGCTTTATTATAATAGTGTAGATTCTAAAACTAACAAATATGATATTTTAATCTTAAACTTTCAACACAAATTCTCAGAGTTCATTTATAACTATATCTACTGTATGTTGTGTAGAGTAACAATTTACGTGTGTACATTAACGTTTGGGAACAAAGATTTCCTTGTCTAGTGAAGAATTACCAGCGAACCAATTAACGTTGACTTTCTATTTGAACATTGCAACAGTTGTCAGGGTCATCACGCCACTAAGTAAAAATACTGATCAACAGAAGACGATAAAACGCGTAGGACTTCTCCTAGTCTATTTTGTATTATGTTATGCCTGAATCTTATTAATATTATCTGACGTTTGGATAGATAGATGGATGTTTGTTAAACTTTGTAGCCTAAAAGGCTGAATCGATCTGGATAAAACTTTGCAAAGATATAGAGAATAATCTTGAAGAACACATAGGCTACTTTCTTTTGTTTTCATTAATACCACGCCGACGGAGTCGCGGGCGGAAGCTAGTAATTTAGGAAGCCCTAAGACACTTCCTATTTCATCTATAATAATGTTTATCTAAGGGCCAGCATAACTAATCCAAAGCAATGATATTGAGCGATCATCCATTGTTTATAAATGAACCACAGTTTACTGTCGCCGTTAATAGTGCGGGCAATACGCCTACTGCTTGAAACAAACCGACAAAATAAAAATCTTGCACTATGTCCGATTTCCTAGCTGTTTAACCGTTCGTTGGTGTTTTTCAACAACTTCATGAAATGCGTTTCAGAACTACATTACTTCATTTTTACGTTATTGATAATAATAAAACAAATGAAACTTAGCAACCGAGCTTTAGTAGGTTTAACTTACCTCAAAGCACATTCATCGACATCCGTCTCACAAAGGGTGCCTGTGAAAGTGGGTGGACACTCGCATGTGTAGGAGTTGAGGCCATCAATACAGGTCGCGCCGTTCTGACACAAGTTGCCGGGGCAGTCGTCGATGTCTATCTCACAATTCTGACCGCGGAAACCTGCAACAAAAACATATTAAATGTCTAAAGCATATATAATCGATTGCCGCAATAGATAGTGACATCAGAAAGCAGTTGTATGGGCCCACACGTCTGATTTTTTTTTTATATTACAAGGTGGTAAATGAGCAAGCGGCCATCTGAATCCAACGAATTGGCGAAGCGAAAGCCGCAATTGCATAAGCGTTGCCTACCCTAAATCGACAGAAAAGGAAACGCACATAAACAGGATATTTCCCCTTCATAAGCATCTCTTCCGCTGTCAAATCCACTTTTCCTTCTCATCCTTTCCTCTTAAAAAAAGGGTGGAAAGGAAAAGGGACTAAAATCAAGCTAAGAAAGTAAAGAAATTAAAGACGTCTGTAGTCTTTAAATAGAAGTTTATAAAAATACTTCTGCATTTTTTCTTCATCTATGAGAGAACGCATATTACGAGTATATTCCTTAATAAAAAAGTATAGATTTTCTTGGTAGTTAGGTAAAGTTGACTAAGATTCCCCGTCTCACCCTTTTGATTTTCAAACTAGTCTGAACTCATTTACCATACATCTAATTGCCGTTGAACTGTTCAGTGATGTACAGAGGGCGGTAGTGTACCGATTAGCAAGTCCGCAATCTCATTACCTTCATTAGACGAGTGTTCCCACGCGGGCCACATGTGCGTTGTTTATGAGATGTGAAAAAAATTTAACGCCCGCCCGACTTTAAATCCATCGACGCCTGTTTTTTCATGCGCAGCGTACCGCGTAAGTTAAGTCAGATGAGAGCGAAATCAACTTTTATTTTTAGAATTCATGCAGTTTAATTTTAAATATGTTAAATATAGCCTGGTATTTATACTTCTTAATAAAGATATATAAACTGTAGATTAAAAAGTATAAAATCAAGATACTACATAAAGGCTGATTTTTTATAATAATCTATACTAAAAGTGTTGCGACGTCATCTATTGATGAGTAGCAAAATTCATATCGGAAGAATAATCGAGCTGTGTCCAGCATGTAAGTCGCGAATAAATTTAAGAAAACTTAAAGGCGTTTTAACACTATCCCTCACGCTCGTAACAATATTATAAATAGTAGGGATTTGTACTTTTGTATGTGTTGAAATAACTCAAAAACTGAGCCAATTTTAAAAATTCTTTCACCGGTTATCTCTATGAGTAATATAGGCTATATTTTAAATTTCACGACAGCTTCTTTTTTATAAAAAGGAAGTATGATCTTACCAATGACTGGACTACAATGAGCCTTAACTTTTATCACACGCAGGTCAACCACTTTCTCTAGAATTGATTTTCATACAACTGACAGGGGAGTTTCGAAAACGTATAATTACGTACAAGTAATTAGCGATAGGCAGTCTCTTAAACACCCTGTACTTACGACTAAGATTCTATTTATTTAAAGACATGAGCATCGGTATTTTTTTATAAACAAGGGAGCAAACGAGCGGCCAAATGAATCCGCCGAGATTTCGAAGCAACCGCTGCCCATAGACATCCGCAGTTGCAGATGCGTTGTCTACCCTTAAACGAGACGCACATAAACAGGATATTTCCCCTTCCTATGCGTCTCCTCCACCGTCAAATGTACTTTTCCTTCCCATCCTTTCCTCTTAAGAAAATGGTTTACAATTGTTTTTTAAAGTTGACTTATCAACTAACAACTAACCCTTAGGTTAGTATTAAATATGAATTAGGGATTCCACTAGAAAGCGAAACTTACTAATCCTTCTACTAAATTATCGGATTGTCGTCTAATTTAATTAAATAAAACGCGTCTAACAGCCAATATTATTATTGAACCGTTACAATAGATTTAATTTGGTTCGATCCTCACTTTTGACCCGCGGCTACCGGTTTGACATCTCGATATTAAATTGACCTTAAGGTCTGAAACAAACTCATTATAGAATACGCTTTTGTGTACCCGCCGCTATCTCTTACGAATTCATCATAAGATATTTAATAGAAACTTATTGGAACAGTTGATCAATTTGATCTATAGACAAGATATACCACGATATATTTTAGACTAGGTGTTGCTCGCGACTTCGCCCGTTTGAAATTAAAAAATATAGCCCATGTTACTCGGTGATAACGTAGCTTTGTAACGGTAAAAGAATTTTTGTAATCGGCCCAGTAGTTTTTGAGTTAATTCAATACATACAAAAATACAAAATTTTCATCTGTACATCATTAGTATAGACAGTAAGATATCTTTTATGTCAATGTCTAATACAATTCCCCACATATCATAAATTATAATTTAAAAGCTACATTGAAAAATACCGATAAATTTAAAAGGGATTTAATTCAAATTTGCGCTCCAAATCTTGGATTTAGTAGACGAGTGTTGCATTTTTCTACATTCTCATTAAAATATGTGACGTCTCAACCTTCGACAGATGTTACAATCTAGACAGCTTCTGTACAAAGCCGGTAACTATCCAGCCCTCCTAGTCAAAGTGACTTTCGATTAGCGATTCCGATTGTAGAATCGACAAAATGTGTCAAAACGCATAGGAATGAATAAAAGCACGTGACTTATCGAATGTTGTCAGTTCCATACATTTTTGTCTTTTCGATCAGCGATAGCGATAATCGAATGTTACTTTGTCTAAAGGGCTGGTCGGATGCAAAATCGTTTTAAAATTTAATCTGCCCTCGAACTGTTGAAATATCTTTAACATTCACGGTGAGACGTTCCGTCCGACTCCTTTCCCATAAGTATGAGTAAACAATTACATTACGGAAGCCGTGTAATATCTATTTTGGGAATTTTGTAACACATGTACAATAACTTTTGACAGCACATGTTGATCGGTTCAACGTCGTGTCTTTCCCGAGTATATTTTTGCAACTAGAGGTTAATGACATGAAAGCGTGGGAATTTGCAAATAGATTGTAATAATTTGATAATAACTACATAACAAATCAACCTTTGGAGACATGATAATTAAGGAAGATGTTTAACTAATTATAGACAAAGATATATGAATACGTTAAGAAAATCAATTAAAACTGACACTTAGACGGACGTTAGTTATGAATGTGGAGGGGTACTTCGGTGGAGGTAGACCTAGAAAGATATGGATGGATTGCGTGAAAGGTGACATGGTCAAGAAGGGAGTGATGAGTGAGATGACGGATGATAGAGTGCTTTGGAAGACGAAAACCCGGTGCGCCGACCCTACGGGAGTAGGATAAGGCAGGAGAGATGATGACTAGGAGTTCAGGAATTCATTAGTTCAGATTTTCTTAATCTTTTTACACATTACACTATATTACGTTTGTTTTTTAAAAAATTACAGTAATTTTTTAATCGTTCGACAATCCTGTTATGTCCATTCCCACATTTAAGCAACAATGACGTCATCGTAAATAGAAATGTCATTTCAAGAGGGGACTTAGTCGGCTGATAAATATGAGTGTTCCCTCCACGCTGTTGAGATACGGACCAATTAATTCTGACGGCTTAATTACCAAGCACCACTTAACGCACCCAAATTGTAATAGAGGACGGAGAACGTATTATAACGTTAGAGCTATGCACCGAAATTTGTAACCATATAACTACAGAACGGCTACATATCTGGGCGAAATTAAGGGGAAAGTTAGATTCAAGTCTGGAATAACGCATACTTAATTACTAGCATCAAGATTGCTAAGTTTTATACATATTTTCCATTCGCGTGTTATTAATAAAATAAAAGTAATTATCATATGTGGTATTCCAGACTATCTTCTACACCCATGCCAAATGTCATCGAGATCCGTCCAGCAGTTTAGACTACTCTATGTTTTCTTTTGCATTTATAATATTAGGAAGATTCTGAGTAAATCTGTCCACGAAATTGCAATTAAATTGGTAGTTTGCATCCAAATAGACATACAAGAACACTTATTACAAACAAAAAGTCAGACACAGGTCGACATACTAATCATTTATGAAGAAAGCTGTGCTCCAAACATGACCTGTTCACAAAGTATTCAGCAATACTTCACTCCCATTCCGCAAGAACATTGAAGCTAATGAACACTAGATGTACCCCAAGAGCTACATGTAACGAACACATCCTGAACTCTAAACATATAACAATAAGAACTAAAACTGAACTGAACTAAAAACTCGTTGCAAAGCTTTCTCAATCTTAAGGTTAAATTGATACTGAAATATATACCGTATTGGGTGGTAATAGAGTTTATATTTGATTAAAAAATTCAGTGGGTGAGTTAAGCAAAGCTCATTGATAGCGCTTCTAGTTAAATGTAATAGAGGTCATTTTACAATTTCCGGCACGAAAGACGTAATGTATATCTTGTACGTGTAATGAATTATGCACTTAAAACATATATCTTTAAGATTCATTTTTGTTTAAACTAAGATTTGCTCGCGTATTTGTATTGTGAGAATTACACGGTTAATGAATTTAATGTAGATTTTTTCTTACACTGTCATTAAAGAAATAGATTACAACATTTCATATCAGATAAATGGGTACTGTTTGTAATGAAAGCATTATACGGTAGCTCGGTTTCTGATTTGCATACTATACTTTTAGCATCATGAGGTCCGTTAAAACAAAACTGACATTCTAATATTGTGGTGATAAATATTCTATTGTTTTTTAGACTTTCTAAATTATCATCATCTCCCCTACCTTATCCTACTCCAGTAGGGTCTGCGCGCCAGGTTTTTGTACTTCAACTATCATCAAAACTTTCGTCATTAATCACCTCTTGGCCCTATGAGTCGGCAAAGTACGTACCTTTCCATACATCTCTATCAACCGTCTTATCTGAATTCACTCCCTTAAGAGTATCTTCTTACACACAATCCAAAATTACTTCAGTCTTGGTCTTTGTAGCCACATTCAATCTTAATACTTTCTTGTTTATTTGTTACTAGCTTTCGCCCGCGACTCCGTTCGCTTGGCATTAAATAACAAAAGCGAATAGCCTATGTGTTCTTCCAGACTATCCTCTACACCTATGCCAAATTTCATCGAGATCTGTTCAGCCGTTTAGGCTACAAACTCTAACAAACATCCATCCATCCATATCAATAAAACCAATTATCTTTCTCACCACAAACGTTATAAAACTAGTTCTACAAGTTGTCAATACAAAAACTTGCACATAGGGTTATAAAGAACTTGGTCGTTTTCATCCAGTTTTGTTAACTGCTATAAAATATCTACAGCTTACAATGCCGTGGTTGTGTGAGTGATCAAGTCGTGGTCGCCTCGGGCACTCGGGTCATAGAGTAAACTCAGACACGCAATAAACAAATTGTTTCTTTTCTATTATGCCTAAGTGTGTCGGTTTCAATTGTTTTTGATTGGGTAATGAAGAAAGTACAACGATGGTTCGTCTTTTTGTAGACGTAAAAAATGCATTTGTTTTTAAAAGTGATATTATTAAAATCATAACTAGGTTTCCTATAGTTTTGTTTGCACAAAACAGTAACAATTTTGTCCATTAGTTTTTTTGCGTTTTTTTTTTTCAGTTTAAATTTGTGTTTCGCTAATATTTTATCTAATAACATAAAACGTGTGCTAGATAATAAACGTAGATCCAATCTGTCTATTGGATTGACCATTTACATACCGCTTAGGATAATCTTTTAAGCAAAAAAATGTTGCTTTACAAGTTTTTTTAAGCACAATCATTTAGAAACAATTAGTTTGATATCGAACTGATATTTTAATTCTACGATAAAATTGGAAGTATTTAAAGTTACTTAAATAAACTTTGAAACTTGAGAAAAATGAAATAAAAAATACATTGCTATTTTTTTTTCCAAGGGGAATAAAATATATGACGTTTGCTTTTAAAATTTTTTACATTATACAAAGTGTTCTTGCAAAGTATTCTTACGGAAGTATGATTTTATTTCCGCATATTATTAAATAGTAACATTTAGATAATATCACGATGGCCGCGCAAAGGGCAACGCAACAGTCAGAGGTCGAAAGCAAATCGACGACAGATTCAGAAATAATTGGCAATCGAGTGCCACTATCGATTCTGATCGAAACGTGAACTAAACGAGGGGAATAAAAGCTTTGTAAACGATAAAAGTATTTACAATTAGATTATCTATACTATTATAAAAAAGAATAAACACACACTTCTTTGTTGCCTAAGATGTCAGCAATCACAGCATATTTTAGAATAACTTCTTTTTTTAATAAAAAGCCCTACACTTGCGTCATGCTTAAGGCTATATGTTTTAACGCCATTAAACATAAGAGGTGAATACTTTGAATAAAAACCCTAATGTGGGAAAGAGACCATAAGTTGCTGCCAACATTAAGGAAGCAAGGCTGTCATCATGTCATGTCATTTTGATTGATAATTTGACAAATGTAAAGAATAAAATAAAATCTTCATAATTCATGCGGATGAAGTCGCACGGGAACGGCTAGTATAAAGTTTGTCCCGTACGTTTTTTATCAAGACAACATGTAAACGTGTTAATATAAATCGTTAACAATTATGTTACCTTTAACACAATCAAATCGATCATATTTCAATGTAATGTTATGATTATCGATCGAACGTATCAATTCAACACCTGTTATTAACAACTTATTTATATTACGAATGTATCCGAACATTTGGAGATTGATTTATTGGAATTATTTACTTCGCAAGCTGAACAAGGCTTTTATCATTCTTATTAATATAAATGCGAAAGTTTCGATGGATGTTTGTTAGAGTTTGTAGCCAAAACGGCTGGATGGATCTCGATGAAATTTGGCATAGTAGAGTACAGTCAGGAAGAACGCAAAGGCTACTTTGTTTTTTTAATTCCACACGGATGGTATCGCGATTAGATACTAGACAAATCTTTTATTTCTATTTCTGTATTGTTCTTCATTTGGATGATTGTATGCAACAAGTCACAATGATTTATAACGTGAAGTGGTATTTTTTTTTCAAGTAGAATATATATTTTTTTAATTTCCCGAGTCAAAGTAATACAGTAGAATCTCGATAAGTTAAAGTCCAAGGGAAGCACAATTTTTTTTAAGTTATCAAGCGTCTCTGTTATAAAGATTTTGGGCTCTGATAGGAAGGGAACATATTATTTTTTGAAGTTATAGAGGTGTTTAAGTTACCGAGGTTCTACTGTACAACAGGACGGTAATTTAAAGATGACACAATCCGACCACGTAGTTCGCTTGAATACATTTAACCCAGAAACTTTAGTTCAACGATAACTGGAACAAGTATACTTACGACGTTACCTTAAAGGTGCAGAGCTGTAGCAATATACCAATATAGACGTGACTATGTAAGGAAAATTGCAGACCATTTAAATGGTCTTAAACTGTTTTACTTTCAAATTCAACGGACAGTATTTTTTCGTAGATTACAAATTGGCTCATTTGAAGTGCGACACCAATAAAACGTCATATTAATTAAAAATAAATCATTTATAAGATACTAGCTGTTCCCGTGCGGCTTCATCCGCATATATTATAAAATCTATTTGATTGTTAACATTTGTCAACTTCTCAATTGCAAATGTCAATATTACCGTTACCATAATAACCTTGCTTCCTTAATGTTGGCAGCTCGTATCGTATGGTCTCTTTCCCACATTAGGGTTTTAAATCCAAAATATTTACCCCCTAAATTTAATGGGGTCAAAATACATAGCATAAAGCATGACGTAAGTGTAGGGCTTTTTATTAAAATAAGAAATATTCAAAAATATACTGTAATTGCTGATATCTTAGGCAGCAAAGAAATGTGTGGTTACGCTTTATTATAATAGTATAGATTATCAATTTAAATTAAAACTTCCAGCATAAACATCGAAAATACCAACAATACAATCGGTAATACTTTTAGATGTTAATTAAAAAACAAAAAGCTACAATTTCCGTGTATTACAAGTTGTATTGGGTAGTCTTAGCTTATTTGGTCCGTCGTCGTGGTGTCTCAAACCATTATCATACAATACCCCCGTCGATGTCGTTACCGTGTTAATGGGAACGATTCCTTCTCTCCAGATTTGGAGGTAAACCACCCAACTGTTTAATGCAAATTATACGGTCATTTCTAAATTTGGCAAAGAAAATTTTAATCACATGCTCGTTATCGTTTATGAGTTTATACCACACAAGCTTGCACTTTAATACGTCCTTTTAAACCATCTCAATAGTCATATACTTCACTAGCTGTTGACCGCGACTTCATTCACTTGGAATTAAAAAATAATAAAATACATCCTATATTACTCAGTGGTAATGAAGCTTTAAAATACTAAAAGAATTTTTGAAATCGGCTCTATTATTTTTGAGTTATTTCAATACATACAAAAATCCAAAAATACAAATAATTACTCTGTAACATTTGTATACATTAACGCTTACTGTTTAGAAATACTATAATAGGTTATGGACTCTCTGTTTATAACTAATCTATGATATCTAGAAATTTTAAAACTTACCAGGAGGACAGTCACATTCGTATCTCAGCTGATCCAATGGCGTGCATCTTCCACCATGCAAACAGGGAGAAGGCTCACACGGCACGTATTCCGCATCACAATCTCTGCCCGTGAAACCCGGCTCGCACACACAAGTATACGACCCGTGTGTATTAAAGCATCTCCCATGATGACAAGGTCCAGAACCACTTGAGCATTCCACCACGTCGTCGATACATCGCGGGCCGGTGAAGCCGGGTGGACAAGCACATGAGTAGCCGGCGGTAGTTGTATTGTCCGCAACGCAACGACCTCCATTCCTACACGGTTGGGATGCGCAGTGGTCTTCGTGTGAACATTCAGCACCTGTGAACGATATAATTAAGTTAAAATTACATTGAAATATTCTCATAATAAAAAAAATAGGTGACATAAATGAACTTTCTGAGTTAATTTTATTACTTTATATCGAATTATCCACGATTTCCAAACTTTTCTTCTTTTTTGGTTATAAAAACGATATTTAATTAAGGACAAATTTACTGCGTCTGATATTTTCCCCAAACGCAGACAATAAAGTAAACTTTTTAACGAGTTAATAAAATGTAAAGAGCTGTTTTTATACCATTATTCAAATCACCTCTACTGAATTGCAAGCTCTTTGGAAATAGAATTTTTGTATTTTTTGCATAGCAAAAACTCAAAATGTCACTTAAATGTCAATAAACTGGATACTTTGCAAAAAGGTGACAGATATAATGAAGTTGACATCAAAACGTATGTTCACGCAAATAAAGGTCATTAAACATAGGTTTTCACTGCATGTAAATATTGGTTATAACCTCACAATGTCTGTGAGTAAACAGTGATATATCAAGCCAAGCGATCCTGATTATAACATCATTAACATCAACATGCCCTTATCCCTTACGGAGGGTCGGCACAGTATGTGCTGCTCTTCCATACATCTCTATCAGCCGTCATATCTGAATCCACTCCTTAAGCATATCCTGTTTCACACAATCCATACTTTCTTCGGTCTCCACCTGTGTAGCCATCCACATTCAATCTTAACACTTTCCGGTTTAAGTCCCTATCGTCTGTCGCAAAACATGTCCCGTTAATAACAAAACTACCAATGTTAAAAGGGTAATAACCTTAGATTATAATTTACAGCTTTAAGCCGTTATTAATTGAAAAAATCGCTAAAATATAGGGTCAATTCACTAGGATTGACGAGCAATAAATTAAACGTGTTTTAATTACTAGACGGAGATAAAACAGCAATATTTCAAACATAAATTAAATTAAAGACGGATGGGAATCGAGAAACATCTTTATTGAATAGAAAACAATTCTTAAATAAATTTTGAGTTAAGCTTTAAACGGAAATACCAATCTTTAGAATATGAAATCAATTAATTAATCTTTTAGTTATAAAACCATGGTATAAGTCGTTTAGAATCTTTATTACTATTTATTTGTTTTCAAAAACTTATCTGTGAAAACATCTTAGAGATCCAAAAAAATTAACCACTGAACTCAATTTAAAACTGTCCCCTTAGTGATCAATTACCATTTCTGAGTGTAGTAAAACAGATTGAAAAGTTTCATAAAAGTGAACTTGTGTACGATGTAGTAGGGTTTGTAATAATTGGTCCGATGGCGCCCGGAGCCGAATTCACAGTCAGTTTAATTGGAATGGCTGACTAATCGACGTGCGCCAAACATGTTGGAATTCACTCTGATTGCTCCAAATAAGCTCAATTGATATGACATTTCGAATTCTGTATACCTTGTCTCCACTAACTTTTATAGTTACTCTTACTTTCGCCTGCGATTCCGTCACCGTGGAATTTAATAAAACAAAAGTAAGTAGTCTGTGTTCTTCCAGACTATCCTCTACATCTATACCAAATTTCATCGAAATCCGTTCAGCCGTTTAGGCTAAAAACCCTAACAAACGCATCCGTCCATGTATTGAATGAAAGACGAGTAAAACCATTAAATCTAACAACTAGACAAAAGTAATATTTACATCTCCAATTAATAAAATATCGTTAGAAATATATCATTTTAGAAATATAACCGAATCATAACGTGAGTAGAATTAAAAAATGATTCACAACAGATAAAAAAGCAACCGGAGACGTCTTACCAAAACGTAATGAAAATGTGCGTGGAAAGCGAGGGAAATTAAAATTTTTGCTCAACTACGAGTCGGTAATTGCGCTTGCGGCTAAAGATGGCGTCGGTTGAATTTTTTGTACAAATACCTTACTTGTTTCTCGAGTTGGCGTGTTGTAACTCATCTAAGAATCCTAGATAAAAGTGAATTAAGTTTTTGTTTAACACAAGCAAGAAAACAAATATGCAATAGTGTGTTTAAGGAAATTAAAACTGCAAAATTATCCGAAACAAACGTAAATGTTTAGATAACTATAAAAATCCTCACTTTTTACACAAATTTCTTTCCGATATTAAATAATTTTGAACTTTTTAACGGCTGTTAGAAAAAATGAAAGCTGTTAAATACACAACCGAATAAAACTTGTTCCTACAATTTATTTTATTCAATAATTAACCGTGAACTACTAGTGCAATTGATTTTAAACCTAAACTCAATGGATAAAATGTTATATTTGTGTAAAACAATAGATGTACATTCGACAACAAAAGTTAAAAGGATATTTTAAAACAATTCAATTAGGTAACAATTTGAAAGCTTGCACAAAATACTGCGTCTTTTTTATTTACGAAGGCTTAAATCTAGCAGTGAGCTAAGGCTCATGACGGTGATGGTGATAGGTTTTAGATTATTTACAGCCAGTTGTTTATCTATCTAAAAATACTACCGGTTTTAAGCCTTACATTATTGGATTCCGTCTACATCGCATTTTTTAAACATGTTGTAATTGATATTGTCGACGATACAAATCATAATCATTATAAAATAAAGCAATAAACAACGCTGAACATTTTTCATTTATTTCTCATTCGAACACCTGTGTATTATTCATCTTATTACCGGAACTAAAATATTTAATACTAAAGAAGTACTAAGTAAAGCCATATTATATCGAATTGTCCAAGAATACATACAAAAATAAAAACTTAACCAGAATATATAAAACAAAGCATTTTACCCTGATACAGTATGTGCCCAAACTAGTCTTATACTCTGTCGTTAATTGAATTTCCACCAGCGAAACACCTTCACAAACACCTATCTTTATTTTTTTCCAAAATCGTGAGCAGGATGGTAATATATTTTAGAAGTATTTTACCAGTGGAAACTGTAACTGACAGTACACAACGTAGCTTACCTGTGTATCCCGGTGGACAGTCGCATTCAAAAGTGTGTAATGACGTCAACCGGCAGGTGGCGCCATTCAAACATGGTGCCGAATCACAAGCAGCCGGTACTCGTATCTCACACAGCGATGCACTGAACCCGAGGGGACAGTCGCAAGCAAAGGACGGGGGGCCGCCGCCGACCCCTGGCCGGACCCTACAGGTGCCGCCGTTCTGGCACCTGGGACTAGATTCGCTGTGGCAGGGGTTCAAATGCTGACAGAACTCGCCGGCGTAACGTGACGTGCAACTGAAACAAAAGAGATATAATATATTAATTTAAGAACAAAAATTATTTGCTTTGACAATTCGGATAATAAATTACGTGGGTGTACCACGCATATAACGCAAAAACCAACACAAGTGAGAGATAAAATCCGTCTCTTCGTACAAACAGCAGAAGCAATACGAAAATGGCTATAGTAACTGGCTATCGGGAGCGGACGTCGTCAATAAATAATGCCGATAGGTGGCGCTGGCAGACACGGTCGTGCGACAGCCACACTAACAACTTTTGTACTACCTCGCTTACTCTATACGCTTATATGCATAACTAGCTTTTGCCCGCAACTCCGTCCGCGTGGAATTAAAAAAAAAAACAAAAGTAAGTAGCCTATGTGTTCTTCCAGACTATCCACTACACCCATACCAAGTTTCATCGAAATCCGTTCATCCGTTTAGGCTACAAACTGTAACAAACATCCATCCATCCATCTAAACCTTTGCATTTATAATATTAGTATGAAGTATGATTGTAACCGTGAAATACTATCTTTATATTCCCAATAACAATAATGTTCCTATACAAATATTTTAAAAGTGAAATACATTTTGTGTTCTGCATACTTTCAATGTATTGCAGAGTAAATAAAAAATAAAAAAATAAACCTCCAAATATTGATGTTCGATTAATTTATACTTAATAAAAGTTTCCCTCATTCTCGTATAATAAACTAGTTTTATTATGTAAATAAATGCATTAAAGATTCATAATTTACAGTAGACTAAATAAACATATCGTTAAATATAAATGAAAATCGATAACGATAGCATCAAACGGGTCACAAATATGAAAATGTGATACAACGTATAATGATGGAAGTTTAGTACTCGTTCAAGTAATGGAATCAATGCAAGCAATCATGAAGCCTATAGTGCAACCACCCACGGCTACATTAATATTCCGAGAGGCAATTTCACCTTATCGTAACCGAAATTGTTACATTATCAGCATTTGTGGGAAAATCATCGATTCTATAAACATTACAAATTTATAGTTAAATCTACAAAGAATCTAACATCAAATAGTATGTGTTCCATTCAAAATTAAATCGATTTTTTGTTTACATTTTGATTTGGTAAAGTTCTTCATAAAAATACACAAGATCGAATATTTTTTTTTAATAATTTTAACCTTATTCATTCGTATTTCTACGAAAGTAATAAAGGAATTTACACCGACCTATTACAATTAAAATTATTAGTAAATTTTGAAATACGTTATGGATAAAATCTACAATCTAGTAAAGAGAAACATAACAAGAATACAGAAAACAGAAACACAAAACATATCCGTACAATGGGTTTCAAAGATGATTCTAAGAGAACACAATAGTGCAACACTTGGTATCCATGATGCATGAGGTTGAATATCCAGCGGGGCTTGTAAGTTGTGAGGCGTGGGCGGCATGGGCGCACCTCACACCCACGCATTGACCTCACAAGGATAGGGTTCTTGCACTCATGCAGCATGGATGCAACCAACATATAACAACTTATAAATGCTATTCCAGACTGTAATATATCTTAGTTCTAAATTTAATTCAGAACTATGGAGTCATTGGTCAGCAAATTTTATGTGGCTTTTGCCCGCGTCTTTTCTGGCGGAATTAAAAGATCCTGTTAAGTAGACTAATTTTTACAATCAGTGGGATAGCCCTTTTGGACTCTAAACTCGATTTTTTAACATTAGTAAGAAGTAAGATATTGTAATTGTATTTATGAAGTCGGTTTGTTTGATCGGTTATCTTCAAACATCAATCTACAATTAAGTAATTAAACCAAAATAACCAATTGTCGGACAATTAGCAAAAAACTAACAATGAGACGCACTAAAGTGTAATGGTAACGGCAAATTAAACGGTCGTACAATAATTGCATGGAAGACGTGAGAAGATTGTTTAATAGTGTTTCGTGTTGACGGTTGGTTAGTTTTAAAATGAAAGACCACGGAGTCGTTAATTACAGCATAAGACTTGGCATCTCGGAATGACAGCGCCTCCTATCCCCGAGCTACCTGTAAGCGGTTATCTTTTTAACAAACTGCGGCCGCCACGGCTTTGTTTAAGTCTGTTAGGAGCTAAATCTTCATTATCCCAGGAACTATAAATTAATATCGCCCTACAGCTCGGTCTAAGAACATTCTTTAAATTATTTAGCAACTATCTGAAATATTTTATATTAGATTGTGCTTGTGATAATTAAAATGTAATGCACTGTTTATTTTAGTTTTAAATTCACTAATCAAAATAGATTAAAAATGATACAGAACAAAATCAAATAGCTAAATTTCTCAATTCAGAACTACTTTGAATTCTGACCTTTAAACTAAAGTTATTATACAAAACTTTAACTAAACTTAAAGATATGTAAAACTTAATGTAGTACTTCAAGGCTAAGCTTGCCGTGTCTAGACTCAGCTTGCAGGGTAATAACTCAACTGTTCCGACACAACCGACAGTGTATCCCGTGTCCCGAGATCTTGAACGAAAATATAAATGTGTACACTCAAGTGCAAAATTCTATAGACATTTAATATTCTGATTTTTAATAATGACATTGACTTCTTTCTGTTTTTGAAGAGCAAGAAACTAGTTTTCGATACTTTTTATAATACATTTATTGTTTTAATTTGGTGATTATTTAAAAAAAAATATCGTAGATTCTATCAACAGTCTAGACATTTCTAATAGACCAAAAGAAAAAACTATATTTACATATCCAGGTTTTACATTTTGAAAATTATAATTTTTTAGATCCTCTAGAAAATGTTTGCTACTAAATTTATTTAATTGCCACTACAATATTTCAATTTGATCAAAACAGTGAGAAAATAAAAAGTCATTTGTGATTGTATAAATTAAAACAAAAATTCAAAACAAACTTAACTTAGGAGTAAAATAAAGAGAGACTAAATTATCAACAATAGTAAAAAAACTGGTTTTCTTTAATCAAAATACATTATGACAGATCAAAGCGTAAAATAATCAATATAATACATCTCTCTTTCATATCCTTTGAAGAACTTGAGACAAGAATATGTTTTACAATGCTATTTGGGTAATGGAGACGGTAACATAATCAGTGATGCACAAGTTACGACATCCAGTGGCAGGTGGCTGCGAGGACAAATATTAACCGAGACAGCCGCTTCGTGGAACTCCGCTACCTGGTGTTGACTAATTAAACAAAACGATCTGTAAACCTCATTTGAGTATAATACCTCTTAGAGTACTATTTGATTTACAAAGAAAACATTAAAATTAAAGTCGGTAATTTTGCTGATATGGAGAAAAGAATAACAGTTAAAGGCTGTTTTCTTTAACATTTAACAGTAAAATACGTAATTAAATATGTAAAAGGGGGGTCCAAATATTTTTTTACACACTACGCATAAAAAATTAGAAGTTTAATCAATTACAAATTAGTATGCCTATAATTTTGGCCTGAAGTGTATTTGCTTTTATAACCCTCTAGTCTGTAATTTGTCTTTTAACTGTAGTATATAATAATAAAAGTTATTTTTCTCTAACATACGTCAATCAAGCCAGTACCAGCGTTGGTACGGTCATGTGCAGTTACATGTGCCTTAATCGGAGATAAAAACGATAAATGTGCAAGTAAATGTGTCTTCCTGTTAATGTCACCTTAAACGTATGGATAACTGTTAAGTAAGCTTCTAAGTTCAAGTAACGTTAAGTGCGATTCATACGTTCTCCGACGGATTAGGTGGTGTAATAAGAGAATCACACCTTTTTAAGTTCACAGTAGCGTTAGTTCAGAGAAAACATAACTATGAAAAATACAATAAAATATACGGTACGAATATGTACAGTCAGCAAGTATACACATTTATGTACGTAGCTTCAAAAACTTGTTACGTCATCAGTTTTATCTGCATGCACGTACTCGTATGCTTCCGACCATGAATATATTTATTGATGAAAAGTGTATTAAGAATTTTAGAATCCGAAATCCTGTACAAGATTGTAAAATTTCATCAACGAAAGCAAATTTATGCAGCTGACTGTATATCTAAAATAAAAAAGGTTAGTTTTTTAATTACTACATTTATTAAAACAGCCGTCATTAAAGTGATTCATTAATAAAATTACTTGATAATAGTCAATCAAAACAAAAGACAAAAGGTACATCGAAGTGCAGCCAATTAAAGGCCACAAAGCCCGCGGTTACGACCAAAATAAAAGGCTCGAAGGACCATAAACCGCTGCCCGGTAGCGGCGCCGGCATCCATACTTCATCCCCTGTTAGACAGCCTACGGAGCTTAAAGCTTTAATACAAGAAGCTTTTATTGTCTGCCTATGCTTTGTATGCAGATTTTGAACCATGTTTCGATAAAATATTGTTATAGCTTTTTAGAAGTTATATAAAATTATGTACATCTTGTTTTTTTCCAAGATTCTTTGTAGAATTTTTTCAAATACCAGTCTAGCAATTCTTGATTTACATAAATTTTATATTATAATATTTCTTATCGTTCAATCTAGGTGCTGGCTAGGAAACCGGAACAAATTTAGTGGTAATAAAATTTCATACTTTAATAGTCATGGAAACAACACTTTTAATGGATTCCGTACTAAAAGTGCTTATTAAACTTTACAAAGCATAATCTCTGCAGATTTTACGTTGGTCCTTCGAGCCGGACACTCCTTGTAAATCTTTTCGATAGGGCCTTGTAGACACGAAACGATAAGCCCCTCACGAACCGTAATTGACATTATAAGAAAAGCATCGGGCTTTTACTGTTTATAACTCTATGATAGCGTCCCAAGTTATAAAATAGATAACGCTGATAACATCTATTCGTGGCTGAAACTGTCTGATAACTGGAAGGTTGTAAATATTACGATGTATAAAATTTTACTTTAGTTATTGATTTACTTTACAGACGGTTACACAGGGTCACACTTATATACTTGTTTTTGCTCGCAACTACGTTCGCGTGGAAT